AGTAATCTACACCCCCCTCTCCACAATTCGACTATTTTCAGACGAACTCCGACAGCTTGAACTGCCCCTACAGTATCAGATCGTCGCTATAAACCTAGACTACAGGATGTGCCGATTCAGGCCTCCACATAAAGGACATAAACAAATCCCTTAACCCTGAACCCTAACCCCTAAACTTTAAACCCTAAACTCTAAACCCTAAACCCTGAACCCCAAACCCTAAAATCCAAGTCCTAAACCCTGAACCCTAAGCTCTAAACTCTAAACTCTAAACCCTGAACCCTAAACCCTACAATCTAAGTCCTAAACCCTGAACCCTAAGCCCGAAACTCTAAATCCTAAACCCTGAACCCTAAACCCTAAGCCCTGAACAAGTCCCCCGCCAAGGCCCGGCGTGCACTGATTAAGTGGGGACGGAGTGTGCAGAAGATCGACTCACCACCGGAGACTCAGATTTCGGGTTTTATTTAGGGGCTATCTGACCCTGAAGCTATACATCAGATTGCCTTAAACCTGAAGATGAACACAAGACCAGAGGCCCATAAGTAAGCTCATAATTCTTAAGCCCTACCCTAACCCTAAACCCTAAACCCACAACCCAAGTCTCCCCCTCCGGTGGTTCCGATCCTGCGCGCCTGACACATCGGGGGCGACATCGTCATCGCCGCACGGCGGAGGCCCCCCCCTTGCGCGCTTCTCACCTATCGGAGGCTGGGTTGGGCGGGACACCATGGACCTGCGGTCTGAATCTGATTCACCCTACTTGGAGGATCATGGGACTTAGTAAGTAAGGTGATAAGTCCCCTAATTGGGGTTATAAGTATAGTTACCTTAGGTATAACCCCACTTACTGAGTCCCAAGAACCTTTAAGTAGTCTCCCCTTCAGGGTTTTTTTGGGGTTCAAGCGGGGTTTCGGATGGATGTATGGTGTAGAAGGGATTGTAAGGTTTGAACTTGGGGCTTGATCCTTCGCCCTCTGTCCCCCGCTTCCCAAAGAACTGTGGATTCATGAAACTGCGGGGTACAGTAGCTTACTTACTCATAAGAATGCTTTTAGGATCCTACTGATTTAGTATTCTACATGTGGGATTTATCTTCAGGAATTCACGCATCCTAGAAACGAATGTCCACAAGTTTTTTCGTTGAAGTCCACAACTCTGGGGCTGCTCTGCTAGAGGTGCGACCCCGCGCCCTCTTAGTTTCCGTAGCGCAGGGGTTGTATTTTTGTACATCCTTCGTCCCCCTGTCTCAGAGTCCACAACACTAAGAGCTCACAGAGCGAGTATAAGTAACAAGAATATCGATTCGAGGTTTAGGGTTTGGGGCGAGGAATAAGAATGGTCGTGCCTTCCCTAAACCCTAAACCCGAAACCCTTTAGGGCCCTAAGCCCTTGAATGTGTAGTCGACATCTTGGACGGCCTCCGCACGTGCTGCCCTTACTTACTTAGGAGTTGATTCCCCAGACCGGGTTTGATGGGTCAGGGTTGCTAAAAGGGTACTATCCTATAGGCTCCATTGTAGTTCCTTTTTTTGGCGATTACCTGAAACGATCCTAAAAATCAACCACAAAAAGGAACTACAAAGGAGCCTATGGGAAAAGGCTTAGGGTTCAGGGTTTAGGGGTTGCGTTCATGATTTTGACGCAGGCTGGTTGGCTCCTTGCTGCGGTTGGCGGCAAGAGGCCGCCGGCCACACCCTAAACCCTAAACCCTGTTGTCGCCATGGAGGGGGGTGCAGGAGCTTTGGAGTCTTCGGACTAATCATTAGTAGAATTCCCTTATAGTTAATTAGCCCCATATATATATATATATAAGTATCTAAAGTACACTTCTCCCAAAACCACAGTCAAATTATTCAGGGCCCTATGCTCATTAGTGTTAATGGTCCTCGCAGTCGAGCAGCCATGCACCAAAACTACAGACTTTGAACCCGAAACCGCAGCCCTAAACCGAAAAACCCACACCCTGGTTTAGAGAAATCTCCTCATTTGGGTCTTGGCAGTTAGAGGGCAGAATCTTCAAAGGCCCCTTCACTCTCGTGTGCTTTGACTGAACATTTGAGTGTCTCTAACTTAAGTCCTAACATTCCTACTCAATCCCATGTTCAATCCCCGAGCCCGGTTATCCGGCTCCTTGCTGGTCTCAGCCGTGAGACATCGAAGTAGCTGCAGGTTTAAGGGTCGTGGTCTTGCCGCCCAAGGATGACTGGTTCGGATGGGCTTCGGAGGTACATTCTACCAAAGGTACGGGGTTGCACCAAGGCCCACGTCATTGCACATGGAGCTTCAGAGCTAAAGACTAAGAAGTATTGGCATTCGAAGCCGAGGAAGGGTCCTGCTGTGTACTGAATTCGCTGATGCCAATTGTGTCTCGCACCTGCCGCAACCCGCTTTTGGCCCGTGGCTCCTGTAGCAGCTGCTAGACATACACAAGAGCATGACATGAGAGCGACACACCGCCAGAGCCATCACAAGAAGCGCCTGGGATTCGGTTGTGACGGCTAGGGGACGCTTTGCAAGACGTGCAAGTGAGAAGCTCATCATCTGGCAGCCGGAACCACAAAGCTTCGAGCAAGAGTCTACAGCACACACACACACACACGCGCACACCTCCCACCACACACTCTCCACACCATAACGACACTGCCACCCTAAGCCCTTCAAACCCTGAGCCGCCCTCCAATCCCGAACACCATTCACTTGGGCTTCTGCTCGTCGTAGCAGCTCGTGGATAGCCATGGAGCAGTTGATAGGAAGGGCCCCTCGGCAAGTAACACCTAGAACATGTTCTCATACCGGAATCTGGACACATAGCAATAACATGCAATAACACTGTAATATACCCTCCTTACCTTCAAGTTATTGAAGCCCCTATATTCGCTGCATGCACTTATTTGGTTCGATTGCCGGCCACACAGAGCCCCCAGAGCAATCCTTTTGTTGGCTTGGCTTTGTGCACGGACCAATCCACAAGTGCGACAAGAAACCCTAAAGCCCTCTAATGTGAGGGCCTAAATAATTACCTGTATTTTGGGGAATCCTTATTAGTAAGATTATAGAATACTGGGCCCCAAAACCCTATTCAAACTATTAAGGCCCCTACTTTGCTTCTGGGTCGTGTAGCCAATGCCAAGTGGGAACCCTGACTCCTGGAGGGCAATCCCTGGACCCCAACGGGCAAACACTACTGTCGTGATGAGGCTTAGCACGAGCGCAGGGAGACAATATTAATATAGGGGCCTAAATAATCACCGATACTATTGTGGGGGTTCCTCATTGTAATTATAGTATAATGAGCCCGAAGACCCTACTCTAAGTATTAAGTCCCCTACATTGCACTAGCACGTGTCATTGCGCCAGGTGTGAAGTTTACGCTAAAGCCGAAACCCTGAAGCAGAGACTGAGGCCAAGTTTCCGGCCAAGCCAGACCCTCGGGGAGTTTCAAACGCAAAGCCAGTAAGTAGTTTGGGGATTGGGGTTCGGGGGCTTTAGGGTTTAGGGTTTAGGGTTTTTTTTTTGGACATGATGGCTGAACTCTCTGAGTGCGCACGTCCATGCAGAACTCTCCAAACGTCTCACGGCTCAAGGTTGGCAAAACATGCCGCCCAAACTGGCGGTAGGTTGCCTTCGAACCGAGCCTTCTCAGGTAAAATGATGACACGATCCCCTTTGGTGAAGAACCGCCAGGGTCCATGTCGACTCCATTCCGCGCTCCGCGCTGGAATGAATGAAGTCACTTCAAGGCAGCAATTGATCAAACCCTGAAGCAACCGTGGTGCCGTCAGAAAGGTGAGGGGCAGGTCTTCGGCAGAAAGGTTGTGGCGAAGCCCCAAAGTGACGAGCTGTTTGGCGAATGCCTCCAAGCCAGGTGCTCTAGTCCCTAGTCTGACGTCAGGCAAAACTGGCCACGGGATGGATGACTCGTGGCGGGTTTCGGTAGCCTCGTCCGGTGGTGGACGGAGGGTCGCCCAAAAGGGCCTTGGACCAAATGAGGTGGCTGCGGGAGGCCATGCAAATGAGTGCTTGGCTGGAACGGGTTCCTCCGCGCTCAAATCCGCGGCTTCCAGGACATTCAAGCAGCCGGGGCTCTTCCGGAGATGCAACGCCAGACGCGGAGTGCACCAGAACTCCCTCTGGCAGGTCTCGCATTTGGATCCGAAAGCGAGCCTGGCGGCTCGCGCACGCTTGCTGTGCACCTTGCTTTTGTGCGCAGCCAGGGCGGCTGCCCGACTGAAGTGGTCTCCGCATAATTCACACCTGTATCTGCATGCCGGCACATCCGTCGACTCAGTGTGAATAAAGAGCCAGCCCTCTTTCCTCTTTGCTTCCATCTGTCGCCACTGGGGCTCGGCGATCTGTCCACGGGCTGCTCTTGTTCGCCGGCTGTGCCTGACGTAGGCACGTATCCACCGGGCCGCCAATTCCGGCTGGATCTGTAGCGCATGCCAGGGGTCCGCAATGCTAGTGTCGAATGCTCCGACACATTCGCGGACTGCCGCTTGGGCCTCGTGCAGCCATTGTCCTTCCCGAAGCCAGAGAGCTTCAATGGAAGGCGTCCCATCCGCGATCAGCCAGGCTGCTGTTCTCACCACTTCGATGGTCCGAAGCTCTTCCGCACTTAGCACTCCCATGACATCGCAGACCGAGTCGTCATCAAGTCCCCGTGATGAAACACCAGTCACGGGCTTACATGCTCGTCGTATGAGCTCCATGTATCCGGCTCGGTAGGCAATCCGCTCCCGACTACTGGATAGAGCCCACAATCCGCATGCGTGCTTGTAGCGTGCCACTGGCATAGCCAACAAGAGCTCCACTTTCTCTGCACGCTGTAGGTGCTTGTTACATAACAGCCTCATCAGTGGTCGTTGGAGCTCTCGTGCTAGTACACGTCTGCGCTTCAGGTCCTCCAAGTCTCCCCCGCGGGCCTCCACCACAGATCCGAGGTGAATATACGTGGGTGTAATACTCACTTGGATGAGCTGGTGGTCAGAGAGGGTCACCGGGAATCGGGCTCGGCGCACCATTTGATCTGCTCCTGCTTGGCACCCCGTCCCTGGAAGGAGGGCAATAGTTCCGACTTTCCTGGCCCCCAGTTGACTGATATGCCAATGTCCCTCATTTCATCATGGATGATTTGAAGGGCCCGGGCCGCCGTAGGAATCACCTTGTCTGCTGCCTCTGTGGCGAACGGCACCGCGACATCGTCCATCCAACTTGGCGCGGGCGCCACTATCTCGGACCGCAGCCCAATGAGTGCTCTACAGCCGGCCTCTTGTAGGCGCTGAGACAGTTTGTCCAGCACCGTGGCAAACACGTACTGGAAGGTCAGGTCCGCCAACGGAGCTCCCGGGGGGGTACCGGTTTGTGTCTGGTACAGTCGGTCACAGGAGTCGCCCAGTCCGAACCACGTTGAGTCCAGCATCGCTGCTACCACTCGACGCACCTCGAGCGGTACACCATGTATTTCAAGGAGGCCCGGGGCCAGAGCAGTGGCGATGAACTTGTCGCGGTCCACCTCCTCCTCGAAGAGAGCCTCGCTCAATCGTTCTAGCTGGTCCAGAGGGTCCTGGCCATCGCGCCCTGTCAAATATTGACGAATGGTGGCGTAAAACGCTGCTTGGCCATCTACAAACAAGACGCCCCCTGAGCGTTGCTTCTGACGAATGTCTTTCAGAAAGCCACGCACTTGGCTCATAGCGGTTTGCATGGGAGCTCGCGGCCTGCTGCCACCTTGTCCTTCCACTCTGGCCTTCTCAAAACCTTCAAGGAGCGCTGCCCTCATGGCTCTGCCCAGTCCCTTGGCACCAGCCTCAACGAGCATGATGGATCGCCAGCCAGTGGGGAGTGCAAGGTTTTTGCTTGGTTTTTCAATTGGGACTGCCTTGCCACCTCGCCATAGCGCTGGGACCTGAGACCTCATCTGCATTTTTAGAAGGAGTGGCGTGTGGCATGCCGCGGTGGGTATCGGCGCACTGCGGAAGACTTCCGTGGGGATCTCTGAGTATCCTGCTGCCTTCTTGGTCGCAAGCTTCCCAAAGGCATGTGCAACCTGAGAGAGACTGAAGGTCCTCGTGACCTTAAGGACAGTCTGCTCAACAGGGGCTGGCCGAGTTCTGAGCATGTCTGCCTGTATCTCGGTAGCCCGCTCGGCCGCGGCAAAGTGCCTGCCTATGAGTTCTTGGGAATCCGCGGCAATGGTGCCGTCGGATTGGACGATGGCTGGTGCCAGAGAGGGTCGGCGATACTTACGGCCTGTTTTGAGGACACTGCGGAAGAGGCGATGGAGTCTCTCGGGCCCTGCCTGTCTTGCCTCTGCAAAGATGGCTCTGGTCGCCTGTGCCGCATCCTGCTTAGCGGACTGGACGACTCTCTTCGAAGCGGCTCGAATCTGCAACCCAAGGAATGCCTGATGCAGGCATCGCATGTGCTCATTGGCAGTATCTTGACTGTTCTGCGTGCGCCATGCCTGGAAGCAATCTCGTAGACACTCGGTCTTGAAGGCAAGTCGGCAGGCATGGAGTTCCCTTCTGAGTTGACGACGAAATTTTATGAGTTGCCATGTCTGTTCTGAGGTGACCGTCTGCCTGGCATGCGCCTTGGCTTTCGGACAAATCGCACAGAGGCCTTGCTTGATGTATGTCTGCAGTACATCAAGGTGTGTATCGACATCAACCTCCCAAGCAATGGTGGGGGCTTTGCGCATATGTTCGGCCCACTCCTTTTGTCCTGACGGGGTGCGTAGGTATTGTACATCCAGCCTGTGTGTCTGCTTCGTCAGGGCTGCCTCCCGACGAAGTCGGAATTCAACCGCTACAGGCCTGTGATCATGGCCCAGCAGTCCCACGAAGTTGGAAAGTACACCCAACGATTGCATGCCTGTTGCTACAGACTGTGGGCAGAGGATATAGTCGATGCATACTCTATGTCCGTTCGGGCTCTCCCATGTGCACAGCTCTTGTCCGGCAGCGTTTACGCAGGCAGAGTGCGCCAGCTCCTGTTCCGCCATAAACTCTCTAAGCATGCTGGCGTTGCCGTTGGTGCTGACTGTGGCGGCCAGACGGGCGTTGGCATCAACCAAAACTATAGGGAGATGGGTGTGCGGAATCATCTTGAACACCCTATGAAACTGCTTCCACCATGCTTCCCTGGTTGGTGCCGGAGCCGCTGCTGTGGGGGCATGTGCACACATTACCGCTACCTTGAAGCATCCAACCTTTGCCAGCACAAGCAGGATTCGCGGTGAACGACACACGGCACTAAACCCGTTAGACTCCCACCTGAGTGGGTGTCCGTTAATCCAACCTACAGGCTGTGTCTTGGAAAACCAAATCTGGCAACCTTGCTGACCTTGGTCCGCATCACTGGCGAGTATGTGGAAGTCGGCATTGTGCTGCCTAGCCTCACCGTGGCATCGGGTCTCCTGGAGTCCTGCAATGGAAACCTTTCTTTTTTTGAGCTGTTGCTGGATGGATTCCTTTTGTGCCTTGGCCGCAAGGGAACAACAGTTATAGGAAACTGCGGTGAACGTCAGTTCTATTTCCTCTTGCACGCGGTCAAAGTGGAGCAGCTCACCCAGACAGGGTCCTTGAGCAGGTTGTGTCGTGTCGTGGAGGACCCCTTGCGGGCTGAGAGCTGGCACTGAGGCATTGGTGCCTGCAGCGATCCAAAGCCATTCTAGGACATCTTCCCGGGCTGCATCGGCGAATGACCCAGGCAATTGGCTAACAATGAGCATCCTTGCCGCCGCCTTTGCTGCGCTATCTGCTGCCTCATTTAGGGGGTGTCCCTCAGGGGAAGAGATGTGAAGGTAGCGCGGCCTGCGACCGACCGCATCGAGCAGATGACTGAGTGACGTGGTGGCTCTGGACAGGGTGGTGTCCTCAGCTGCCGTACAGAACCCCTGTGCCAGGTCGCCTGCTGACGTCGAGTCGAATGCTATGAGCGTCGGGATGGGCACAGCGCAAGCCACTGCCATGGCATGGCATGTGGCCGCAAGTTCCGCTTCGAAGCATGAACGGACTGGCGTGAACAGTGTGGCAGATGAGCCTTGGCAAGGCGCATTGGCTACATGAATGCCTATCCAACCCCAAGATCCTTGTTGCAGCCCAAGGGCACATATTGACCATCCGGCCTTAGCCCCGTGTCCCTGGCAGGGGAAAAACGACCCGTCAACATACATTTGCATAGCCTCGATAGGCTGATCCCGGCAGATTCTAGGGCACGTCTGAAGGAAATGCTTGGCATCGGGATGGAGACTCGGCACATCGCTCCAATCCTTATCAAACATTGCAATACCGAACCCTTCAAATGCTGCCTCAAACATATCAAGATTAACCCCGCACTGCATCTGAACATGTCGCTGCTTTGCGTCGCCACTTGGGCACACTTCTGCAGCGGCAACAGGTATCTCGGATGCAAGCTGGATTATGGTGCTCTGACGGTTTGGGCGAAGCTGCATAGGGATATCCCGCCGGCCAAAGGGGGTAGCAATGGCGCTATGCAGGATGTTCTTTTTCTTGATGGAGGCCCGGGTCTGCAGAAGACTGTGGCCGTCGGTTCCATCTGCACTCGAAGCAGGCTCGGGGTCATTGTTACGCTCTCTACGAAAGTAGAGGACGTCCCCCGTTCGGAGGTCCCGGCGCGGGTATAATTCGGTGCCAGAGCCCGCTGGAAGGTCTGGCAGCACGCTCATATCCGGTGAGATGAGCAGCACAAAAAAGTGCTCCGGGTGTCTGGGCGCGGGCAAGAGTACAGTATTTGAGTTGCCCCGTCGCGGTTTGCTAGCGTAGATCGCGGTGTCCGGAACGGCCACCGCTGTCCGGCTAACTTCTTGCCATCCCTGTGGATAGTCTAGCTCCGCAAGAGCCTGTGTGACACTGCTCTGTCCCGGCGGACGCGGCCTTGCAAAATGCAATCGGACGACCCCATGGAAAGATCCGTGCACACTCGCTGTGCCCGCCATGTGATAGTGTGCTCCCATGGCATGCCGTCTGGCTCTAAGGTTTTCTCCCAGCCTGACAGCAATTTCCCTCACCGTAGCAACGGGAATTCCGTTGGGTCTGACTGGGGCATACCAAGTGTAAGCCTCTAGGCTCGGGCACAGGTCCAGGACATGTCCTTGTGGGACTGCAGTTTGAATCTGACTCCCGAAAAAAGGTTGAAGGAAATCGCCGGCTCTAATTGGTCTATTGCAGTACTCCTCGGGCACACCATTGATGGCCAGGCGCCACTGTACGTCTCTCCACGAGGTGGAGAGGATCTCCGAGCAGGGCGCGTCGGAAGCTGCATGCAACAACTGAAGTCCGCCTCCGATTGGCCTGGCGTCCCATAGGTATGGAGTGGCGGCGGTAGGTTCCATGATCACAAGGGGAACCTCCTGAAGGTACCCAAGCTGTGGCGGTAGGGACCCACTCAGAACAACTCCACTGCCATGGGCAAGTGGATGGTCACCACTTATTTGGTCGAGGAGGTGTGCCATGATCTCATCGAGCAGATGGTAGGGGGGGCTCAGGTCAGCCGAAGCCGAGTTAGCACCTCGAAAGAGGATAAGTCTCAGGGCAGGAGCGGCTGTGGGGACAGACAATGCCTGCATCCACGTTGTGCTGGCTGTTGTGCCTTCGTGGAGCCATGAGCTGCCAAAGAACCTCGGACCATCGTGCCTGCTGAATCTTATGCTGGCGGGGAAGGTGAAGACGCGCATGTGCTGGATCGCCTCAAGGTTCTCGGGAGGATGCGAGTGACTGGGCCCAAGGAGTCCTGCACGGTTAGCAGATTCTGCCTGACTCCTTCCGCGAGTGTGGGCTGACCTGGGGATAGGGCCTCGACCTCAGCTAGCGCCTCAAACAGGTTTTGACCGGGAAGGTGCTCGCCGGTCTTGATGCCCCTGCCTGCGCCTCGGAGATCCCAGGGAATGGGGGCCCTAGGGAACCTAGCTGCAACTCGATGCAGGACGAGCTGAGGCCGAGGGTAATCGGCAATAGGGTCCGTGAGCACCTGTACTGCCGCAACCTCAAAGGGAGCTGTCTGAACTGCCTGTGCAACTAAGGTTTGCAAATCCGTATGCACTCCACATTCGCCTAAGCTGACATGTCTTTGAGCATCAAAGACTGTGAAGTACCCCAGGGTGTCTCGAGTTACCCTGGCCCACTTAAAGTCGCTGGTGGGCGACGTGAATGCGTCCCCTTCACGGAAGACAGCCGGATAGATTTGGACTGCACCGGCTTTGGCTATGGATGCTTCGGAGGGCTCCGGTGTGAAAAGGAGGTTGGCTGGAGGGAGGCGTGCCACAGGCCAGCTCGTGGGAGGGGCTTCCGAGGGATCATGTCCATCCTCAGAGGCTCCACGTTGCATCGGCATATCATCCCCCACTTCACTAAGTAGCAACCATTCGTACTGAACCAGAGGTGCAACTATGAAATCCACTGTCCTCTGTCTCGAGTCAGTGACCTCCAGGCGTCGTCTGGCAAGTCTGTCCGTAAGGTGACGGAGCCTGACCCCTGTCTTGTCTATCACCTGATGTATAACCTCGGCGATGGCCATGCCGTGGCCACTGAGCACCGTTGGGATGCCACCACCGAATTCTCTGGCATCAACAGGAATGGCAATCTTTTCCCGGCCTGCCCTCGCCGGGGTCATCACCAGATTTGGGCGGAAGGTCCTTGGAATAGGCACCGTGGGGAATTGTATGCACCTTACCGTGTAGGCCACGGCATGCGCAGCATCTTGGACAAGTTCTTCGACTGTCCACGTGATCTGTGCTTGCCTGGTGCGCCGACCCTGCTCTGGCTCAAAAAGGTCATAGGGGATACGCCCGTGTGCCCGCGGCGAGCCGATTTGCAGCACATCTACGATTTCAGGCAGTCCCTTGTCACGGCGGACCTCGAGCTCTGCCGGCACCAAATGCGCCTGCTGAGCCATCATTTGCGTGATGAGTGTTGGCTTGAGTGGTGCCGCTTTGCTGGATGAGCTGCTCGCGGGGCACTGTGTCGCCCACTGGTAGGCAGTTGCACGAGCAAAGGGTTGTGTCACCTCACATGACTCCTCGTGACCTGGAAGCGCAGAAAAGCCTGGCAGGATTTGCTGGACCTCCGCTTTGATGGCACAGTGCGGAGGAGGGGGGCTGAGACAAGCTGCCTGACGTGCCCACCTGTTAAGGCAGGTCTGTGCCCCCTGCTGGAAGGTCACTTGCAGTGGAAGCCTAAACCTCCTATTGGAACTCCTGCTGCCTTGCGCCCTACCTGGCTCATCTAGGGCTTGCTGGTCGCCGTCTAACATGGAGCATCGACATCCACCATTGGGCAGCCGGAAAAGAACTGCATCTTTGTCGACCGTGTCGTTATCCCACATGCGCGCCACGGGACCAAGGAAAGTTCGATTCGCGGGTGGTTCCGGTGTCTGTCGATAGTCCACGTAGTCAGCACAACCTGCTGCCACCGGAAAATTTCTGGCACGAGTCTTATGTACACAAGGGAAGCGAGCCGGACACAACCCGCTGATCACCTTTGCCTGGTGGAGCTCGATGTCGTAGTAGGTTGGGGCGGTCAAGCCCCCAACTTCCTCCCGTGGGTCTTGCCACGTGGTATGGACCTCGCATCCGAAGATGTCCTCCGTGGACACCTCAAAGCTTCTCACACATCCGAGCATCAAGGCCACTTGTGGCCCAACAAAATTGTCCTCAGTCTCCACGGAGTGAGGCACGTATCGCATCGGCTCGTTCATAGCTGCGAAGCCTATGAACGAGCCCCACCAGGGCCTGAACCAAGGCGGAAGGGTGTGAGCACCTCGCCCTTGGCGCCAGCGCTCTTCGCGGCATTCTTCGTGGAGTCCTCGGCGGCCTCTGTGGCCTCGCCTTCCGACTTTCTCCGCGGTGTCCTGGATCCGTCCCTTCCGTTTTTGGCCATGTGCTCCTGCATGCGATTCTGCATGTCGGCCAAAGCCCCGATCATCTGCTTCGCCGACTGTTGGCTCTCCTCCGTCGCTTTTTGCAGCTTGGATTCGAGCTCGACCGCCGTGACCACCATGTCCTCGTTGTCCTCCATCTCGCGTTCCGAGTCGGGTGGCTCTTTGTCCGCTCCGGCCAATCTGGCCAGTAGTTGCGTCGCCTGTTGGTCGGCCTGTGTCCACAAAACTTCTGACTTGTCCAACCCTTCCAAGACCTGCGACTGTTCCTGCAATTGTTGCTCCAGGAGCGTCGCCAGCTGTCCGGTGTAGGTGTGCCATGCCTGCAGGTAGGAAGCCCGTTGGGCTTGTACTTTGGCGAGCGTTTGCCTCGCCTTCGCCTGCTCTGCCACCGCCTTGTGCATAGCTTTTGTAGTGGACTGCGAGTTCGATTCTTGCAGGGCAGCTATCATCTGTTGTGCCTCCGGCGGAAGCGTCGTCGACGAAGCTGACAGGACCCCCAGCAGAGCGTCCAGGTGCGCCTTCTCCGGTGTCTGGGCTGTCTCTGTCCCCTGCTTCCGTGGCTGCTGTATCGAGGGTGGAGCGGGCATCGTCGGCAGCGTGTCCAAAGTGGGCGGCGCTGGCGTCTTCATTGTGGCCGCTTCCGACCCGGCATACTTGCCCTTGCCCCCTTTGGCATCCTTCTGCTTGCCCTTTCCACGGCGTCGGGGTGATGGCTGCTGCCAGCGTCTTGGCAATCTGGCCTCGCCCGCCCGAGCCGTCCACGCGGAATCCGTTCTCCGTCGCGGAGAGCTCGGTTGGTGTCCCCACCATCCCTGCTGCCACGGGGGAGCTTCTGTCTCCTGAACATAAGTCCGGGTATTGCTCTGTGTGGCGCTCTCCCAAGAGCTGCCACACTGTCCACAGAACGCTGCTGAAGCCTTCACTCGCTGGCCACAGCTGCACTGCCATGGCTGTTTCTGTGCCATGGCTGAATCCTGAGTCTGTAGCCTCCGCAGCGCCCTTCCAGGCAGTACCGAGGCTGAGTGATGGTGCCGCAAAGCTGTGATGGCCTTCCTCACCTCCACCAAGCTTTCCGGCTGTCCCGTTGTAAATCTCCTCAAAAGTGTTCTCGCTGCTGTTCTGCACCGTCTGGCACGCCTGTGCCAAGAAGGCTCCTTTGGCCGCCTCGACGGCCACGTCTTGTAGGCAGATAAAAAGGAGGAACTCTCCCAGAGCTCGTCCTAGCATCCACGCAATACCACTCGAGGATTGAAAGGGGCGCCACTCCCTATAAAAAGCGCTCCAAATGAAAAATCAGTCAACCAGCCAGCAACCACACAAGTGTCGGCACAAGGCAGCGACAAGTGTGGGAGGGTGGTGTGGAGTGATGAAATTCCAGCCGCCGAGGCGGGGAAAGGTAGCACAAGAGCCTCGCGAGGCGTACAGCTCAAGTGTGGTGGAAACCCAAAAGCCCGCAGAGGGTCGCGGTTGGGATCCGAGCGTCGCGGGTCACAGACCACGCTTAGGGCTCAGGCACAGGAGGAGCGGAGACCGCAAACTACTCCTGGGCCGAAACGCCTAGGGTTTAGGGTTTAGGGTTTAGGGTATAGGGTTTAGGGCTTTAGGGGTTTAGGGTTTTAGGGATAGGGTGTGTTGCTTGCGGTCTACACGGCTTCACGGGTTTTATGGCAGTTGAGGTTGACTTGCTGTGAGGGCTTTCGGGCTTGCCGGATTTATGAAATTTGTGGTTTTTGTAGATGCCTAAATAATTGCCAATACCATTTTGGGGTTCCTTAGTATAATTATGGTTTAAGTAAGGGGCCCCAAAACCCTATTCTAATTATTTTTGCCCCTATAGTATGTTCAGACTTGGCAACAGGATCTCATTCTACGAACGATCCCTGAGAGTGTCGCTTTCTCAATGATAATTGCAACCGGCTGTCGCCACCCTGAACCCTAGACATCAGGCGAAAGCACTGGACATCACTACTGTAAACGTTTTGCGCGCCACCCTCCCGTAGCTTGCGCCGAGATGCGTCAAGAATGAGATACACAACATCCTCACGACGTTTGGCGCCCAGTTGCGCTGGTTGTTTGGGGGTAAGAGGTTCAGACGAGGTGTGAGGTTAGCACCTTTTTTCCCAATCAGGTCCACTGGTGCGGTCCGACCCGGACTTCCTGATGTATGACCGTAGAGTAATTAGATGGTTTAGTGCTCAATGGCTTCGGACCAGTGGATGTAAGCAGTGTCGGGTTGTAGTTACAGTTATTGGGCTAGTTCGAAATACAAGCCACAGCTACCTTACTCATGTCCTTACTTGCCAAACTTATCTCTGGTCCTCAAGTATCTGCTCACAGATAAGTCAGGGATTACCAGAATCTCCTGGATGCGGCTTTCCAACACAGTCCCCCCGGCACCACAATCATCTAAAACTTATAATTAACTATACTTCGAGGAGCCACACTAAAACCACAAGAAATGGCCTGCTAAGGTTCGTTCAAGGTGCGGCCTGGGTTCAGAGTTGCCCCAAACTGTTTCCGACTCCCGAAACCTACGCAAACTGGGTACTGCAGCTCGAACATGAACCCTCTAAAGACCCTATAAACCCTAAACCCTAAACCCATATCCTCATCCCTAAAGCCTCCATAGCCAGCAGGGCACAGCTTTGAATTTAGGGCCAGCGCCTCGGACAACGGCCCCTTTCGCAGGTTCAAAGTCCTAGAGGCCGACACTTCGGAAGTCCCTGCACCCTAAACTAGGGTTTAGGGTTTAGGGTTTAGGGGTTTAGGGTTTAGGGTCTAAAAACCCCGGCCTGAGAAGCCTAAACCCTAACATAGGGGCTTACATACTTACCAATACTGTTTTGGGGCTTCCTTAATATAGTTTTAGTACAATGCATCCCAAAACCCTATTCTAGTTATAAAGGCCCCTGCATTAGACCCTGCAACCCTGAACCTTTTCGCAGCTTGGGTACGACCCACAGGCTTCGGTTGACCAGGCCGACCCATGGCATCAACGGCACAGAGGCTGGGAATCACTACTACTTGGAGGATCATGGGACTTAGTAAGTAAGGTTATAAGTACCCTAATTGGGGTTATAATTATAGTTACCTTATTTATGACCCTAGTTACTAAGTCCCATGATCCTCCAAGTAGGAGTTTATCAGGGCTTTTCGGGTCTTCAGAGGCCCCTTCAGTCTTGGCACGGCTTCTCCGTTGTGGCTCGTCTTTCTTGTGGAACCTACGGGGGTTTTGTAGGGGTTCGTAGGGGGTTCGGGTTTTAGTGTTTAGGCATTAGGATTTTGGGGTGTAGGGTCGAAGTTTAGCATAAGTAGGAGTCCGAGTTGTCCCATATCCTGGCCCTTTAAAGGACTCTGACATAGCTATGCGCAAAGGTTGACGCATGATCCCTAAACCCTATCCGTCAAACCCAGAAAGCATGTTGGTGAGGCGAAGTTCCACCTAGAGTCGCTGAAGTCGCCGGAAGCCCAGTTGGTTCGCGCAGCATCGCAACGCCGGGATGTATGCCTTTACATGGGTTTAGGGAATTATAGGGTTTAAGGAATCAGAGAATCAGGGTTTAGGGTTTAGGGTTAAGCATCCCGAGTCATCAGTTCAACACATTTCAGTTGGAGCTTTCTAGCGATGCCTGGGGCCTGGGGTTTGCCGCCACTTGGGGCGCAAGAAAACTCGAATTCCATCAAGGCTTAGACTAGAAGACAAGCCAGTCCCATGACGCAGAGAGCATCAACTAAAGTTGGCCTTGCAAGATTCCGTGGTTTTGCTTTTAGCCTTTAGAGCGCAAGACCCGGGTCCTCGAGATCTGGGAGTCTCATGCCTTTCACTGAGGTTTGGGGTTTAGGATGAAGAGTGTCTGGGTTTTAGCGTTAAGTGTTTGGGAGCTGGGGCTTAGGCTGCAAAAGAGCAAATTCGTTCATAATATAGGTATCTCGTCTTGCACCTCGCGCGAAGATTTGCGGCATCGCTCTTTTGCTTTATACGGACCTTATAGGAGCCCTTACGGGAACCCTTACAGGGACCCTTAAAGCAACCTGTGTAGGACCCGAACCCTAGAATGGCCCTGGAGCTCAAATTAAGCTGCCCCTGCCAGGGCAGAATCACCAAACTGCAACCCCACAACTCTAAAACCCTAAAACCCTAAA